GGGGGGGGGGTGGGTTGGGGGTGGTGGGTAGGTTGTGGAGGGGTGTGGGGTGGGTTCAGTGGGGTCTGGGGGGGTCCTGGTAGGGTTTGGGGTGGGTGCAGTGGGGTTTGGGGGGTCTTGGTAGGGTTTGGAGGGGGTTTGGTGGAATTTTGGATGGGTTTGGGTTGGGTTCAGTGGCGTTTAGCAGGTTTTGGTTGGGTTTGGAGGGGGTTTGGGGTGGGTTCAGTGGAGTTTAGGGGGTTTAGGCTGAGTTTTGGAGGGGTTTGAGGTGGTTGGTAGGGTTTGGAGTGGGTTTGGGGTGGGTTTAGGGGGTCTTGGTTGAGTTTGGAGGGGTTTGGGGTGGGTTCAGTGGGGTTTAGGGGGTCTTAGTAGGGTTTAGAGGAGGTTAGGTTGAGTTTAGAGGAGGTTTGGGGTAGGTTCAGTGGATTTAACGGGTTTTGGCTGAGTTTGGGATGGGTTTGGGATGGGTTCAGTGGAGTTTAGGGGTGGTTAGTAGGGTTTGGAGGGAGTTTGGGGGGAGTTGAGTGGATTTTAGGGGGTCTTGGTAGAGTTTGGAGGGGATTTTGGGCGAGTTTTGGTGGGTTTGAAGCGGTTTTGGCAGAGTTCAGTGGGTTTTGGGGGGACTTTGGTGGATTTTGGAGGTTTCTGAGAGGGATTTTTGGGAACTTTTTGGGGTTCTGGCATAGCCTGAAGGGGTTTGGGGAGGTTTAGTGGATTTTTGGAGGAGTTTGAAGGGGGTTTGGTGGATTTTGGGGGAGTTCTGTGGAATTTGGGACTTTTGGGGGAATTTGGGGGGGGATGATGTGGGAGAACATTTATTTAGGGATATTTTATGAGAGCTTGGTGTGTTTTGGGGGATATTTTGGGGGATTTGGGAAGAGTTTGGAGTAGTTTGGGGGAAACTTGGGGGAAATTAGGAGTTGTTTGGACTATTTGGGGGGGAACTCGGAGTATTTTGGAAGGGTTGGTATATTTTGGGGGGAGTCTGGAATATTTTGGGGAGAGTTTGGTGCATTTTGGGTCAGTTTGGAATATTTTGGGGTCAGTTTGGGATATTTTGGGGTCAGTTTGGGATATTTTGAGAGGAGTTTGGTGCATTTTGGGGGAGTTTGAGGTACTTTAGGGACATTTTGGGAGGAGTTTGGGGTATTTGGGTTCAGTTTGGGATATTTTGGGGGGAGTTTGGGGTATTTTGAGAGGAGTTTGATGCATTTTGGGGGTGTTTGGTGCATTTTGGGGGCAGTTTGGGATATTTAGGGGTCAGTTTGGGGTCTTTTGGGATCAGTTTGGGGTATTTTGAGAGGACTTGGGTGCATTTGGCGGGGGTTAGAGCATTTTGGGGGCGTTTGGGGCATTTTGGGGGAATTTGGAGCATTTTGGGGGGAATTTGGGGCATTTTGGGGGAATTTGGGGCATTTTGGGGAGAATTTGGGGCATTTTGGGGGAATTTGAAGCATTTTGGGGGAGTTTTGGGCATTTTGGGGCATTTTGGGGGGAATTTGGGGCTTTTTGGGGGGAATTTGAAGCATTTTGAGGGGAGCTTGGAGCATTTTGGAGGAATTTTGAACATTTTGGGGGGAGTTTAGAGCATTTTGGGGGGAATTTGGGGCATTTTGGGGG